CCGGGGGGTTCAGCCGGGGATACCGGGGGGCTCAGCCGGGGGTACCGGGGGGCTCAGCCGGGGGTACCGGGGGGTTCAGCCGGGGATACCGGGGGGCTCGGCCGGGGGTACCGGGGGACTCGGCCCGGGATACCGGGGGGTTCGGCCGGGGGTACCGGGGGGTTCAGCCGGGGGCACCGGGGGCTCGGCCGGGAGCAGCGGGAAGCACCGGGGGGAGCGGGCCGGAGTTGGACCGGAGGTTCGGGGTCCCCCCGGCGGTGCCGGGACGCGTGGGGACCCCCCCGATCCCCGCTCCAGGACGGGATGCAGCTGCTGGAGGAGGACCCCCAGAATTGGCCCCCCCGGATCCGCTGCAGCGACGCCTGTGACCCCCTGACGCTGGAGACCAACAACACGGTACCGGGGGACCGGGGGGCAGCCGGGGGGACCGAGGGGGGCTGCGGGGGTCCCGGGGCGGGGTCAGAGATGCTGGGGGTTCGCTTGGGCATCCCAGGTGTCCCTGGGGGTCCCAGGGGTTCAGGGGATGCTGAGGGGTTTTCCCGGGGTTCCCAAGGGTGTCTGGGGGTCCCAGGGGCTCTCAGACATGTCTCGGGGGGGGTCCGAAGGATGCTCTGAGGTCCCGGGGATGTTGTGGAATGTGCCGGGAGTTCCCAAGGATGCTGAAGATACACCTGGGGCTCTCAGGGGTGCCTGGGGGTCCCAGGGATGCACCTGGGGGGTCTCAGAGGGGTCCCAGGGATGCTGGAAGACACGCTTGGGAGGTCCCAGGGATGTCTGAGGGTCCCAGGGGTGCTGAGGATGCGTTTGGAGGTCCCAGAGGGGTCCCAGGGATGCCGAGGAAAGCGCCTGCGGTTCCCACGAGTGCCCGGGGGTCCCGGGGTGCAGCTGGGGGGGTCCCGGACCCCCATCTCACCCCCCGCTCTCCGCAGCGCTGCCTGCAGCGGGTCCACCAGGCGCTCCAGCACTACCGGGACCTGCTGGGCTCCGACATCTTCCAGGACCAGCCCCAGCCCCAGCTGGAGACCACGATGGAGCAGCTGCTGCGCCACGTCCAGGTGAGGAACCGGGGGCTCGCAGGGATCCCGGGGGCTCGCAGGTCCCACAGGGTCAGGGCAGGCGCCCCTCAGCCCCTCCCCTGACCGCGCTGTCCCCCCGCAGGAGGGGCACGGCCGCCCCCCCCGGCACCCCCTGGCCCCCACCGCGGTCTGGGCGCGGCACCTGGCGCGGCACCTGGCGCTGAAGCGGCTCCGCTCCTTCGCCGCCGTCATCAGCCGCGTCTTCAACCACAGCGCCCGCTGAGCCCTCCGGACACCGCCCCCCAGCCCTTATTTATTCCCCCTCGCCGAGGGGTTATTTATGATGCGCGACATTCCCCCTATTTATCTCGGGTATTTATGGGTTTCTAATAAAGCTCCGACGGAGACGAGCGAGCAGCGCAAGGGGCAGCGCGGGCAGGGGTGGGAAGGGGTTTATTTACAGGGAGGGGGTGGGAAGGGGGTTATTTACAGGGAGGGGGTGGGAAGGGGGTTATTTACAGGGAGGGGTCACTGGAAGTCGCTGGCGTCGATGTGGAGCGGGGGAAAGTCGGTGGAGGAGAAGAGGGAGGGGGCGGCGGGCAGGGCCAGCTCCTCGGACTGCGGCAGGAACGGGTCGTGGTGGTCCAGGAGAGCGGCGCTGCCTGGGGTGGGGACAGGGAGGTGCCAGGGGACAGCTCAGTGCCCAGAGTGTGCCCAGGGGACAGGGAGGTGCCCAGGGGACAGCTCAGTGCCCAGGGGACACCTCTGTGCCCAGGGGACAGCTCAGAGCCCAGGGGACAGCTCTGTGCCCAGGGGACAGCTCAGTGCCCAGGGGACACCTCTGTGCCCAGGGGACACCTCTGTGCCCAGAGTGTGCCCAGGGGACAGCTCAGAGCCCAGGGGACAGGGAGGTGCCCAGGGGACAGCTCAGTGCCCAGGGGACAGCTCAGTGCCCAGGGGACACCTCTGTGCCCAGGGGACACCTCTGTGCCCAGGGGACAGCTCAGTGCCCAGGGGACACCTCTGTGCCCAGGGGACAGCTCAGAGCCCAGGGGACACCTCTGTGCCCAGGGGACACCTCTGTGCCCAGGGGACAGCCCAGTGCCCAGGGGACACCTCTGTCCCCACCACCCCAGCCCCGACACTCACCGGGGCTCAGCTGGAAATTCTCCTCGAAGGTTTCCATGTTCGGCATCAGCTCCGCCAGTTCCAGCGTCTCCAGAGTCCCCGAGCCCAGGTCTGGCCCCTCCAGCGACTGCAGCAGCTCCTGCATGTCCTGGCTGCCCGGCAGCAGCTCCAGGTCCCTCAGCTCCGGTGGCAGTGTCCCCTGCTCCTCGGGGAGCTGCGGTGGCTCCGCAGCCCCCGGCACCGGCTGCAGCGTCCCCGTGTCCACAGCCACTGTCCCCTGCTCCCCCGGCAGCAGCTGCAGGCTCCCCAAGCCCCCTGAGCCCACCTGCAGCATCCCCACCCCCCCAGGCAGCACCTGCACGGCCCCCGGTGCCACCTGCAGTGTCCCCTGGAGGTCGGGGAGCCCTGATCCCACCTGTGGTGTCCCCAAGCGCTGGGGCTGTGGCTGCAGCGTCCCCAAGCCCGTGGGCTGCAGGGTCCCTGGGCTCATGGCCACCACTTGTGGTGTCCCCAGGCTCCCAGGGGTGACCGGCAGTGTCACCTGTGCTATCCCCAGCCTGCTGGCCACGCTCTGAGGTGTCTCCACGTTCCCAGGGGTGACCTGGGGTGTCCCCAAGCTCTGGGGCTGTGGCAATGCCAGGCCACCAGCCTGCTGTGTCCCCTGCCCTCCGGGCTGCAGCTGCAGCGTCTCCAGGTTCTCCGTGGCCACCACCAGCTCCTCTTCTGTCTGCCACTTGCTGGGCTGCCTGGAGCCAAGGGGATCGGGTCAGGGGATCCCACAGGGTCAGGGGATCCCACAGGGTCAGGGAAGGATCCCACAGGGTCAGGGGATCCCACAGGGTCAGGGGATCCCACAGGGTCAGGGAGGGATCCCACAGGGTCACAGAAGGATCCCACAGGGTCAGGGGGGGATCCCACAGGGTCAGGGGATCCCACAGGGTCAGGGAAGGATCCCACAGAGTCATGGAGGGACCCCACAGGGTCACAGAAGGATCCCACGGGATCAGGGAGGGACCCCACAGGATCAGGGGGGGATCCCACAGGGTCAGGGGGGGATCCCACAGGGTCAGGGAAGGATCCCACGGGATCAGGGAGGGACCCCACAGGATCAGGGGGGGATCCCACAGGGTCAGGGGGGGATCCCACAGGGTCAGGGAAGGATCCCACAGGGTCACAGAAGGATCCCACGGGATCAGGGAGGGACCCCACAGGATCAGGGAGGGATCCCACAGGGTCACAGAGGGACCCCACAGGGTCACAGAGGGACCCAGGTGTCCCCACAGCCCCTCACCTGGAGGACACGCGGATCAGGCGCCGGTTCAGGTACTTCTTGGACTCGCTCAGGTTCCCTGGGGATAAAAAGGGGTCAGGGGGGTGTCAGGTGTGACCCCAGCTCAGTCCCAGGCCATGCCAGGCCGTACCCTCCTGCCTCTGGCTGTAGTAGGGCGCGAAAGCCTCGTCCCGGGGGGTGTTGGGGTACAGGTACTTGAGGGGGTTTTCTGGAATGTTCTCCTCCATCATCATCTGGTAGTCGCGGATGATGTCGGGCAGCGCCAGCGACACCAGCTCCGAGGCCGTGTAGGGATCCACGGCGTGGAAGGAGGGGGATCCTGCAGGGGGGACAGCCAGAGGGGTGAGGGGCTGCACCCCGCGCTCCTGGGGGGTCCTGGGGGGGTCACTCACCTTTCTCGTGGTGCTCCACCCACGTGAAGGTGACCCCGCCGAGGATGCTCTCGCTGAAGCGCAGCAGGAACGTCCCCGTGAGCTTGGACTTGAGCAGCTTCCTCTCCTGCTTGCGGCTCACGAAGCCCAGGATGAGTCTGGGGGAGGCACCGTCAGCCCCTGCGGCCCCCCCAGACCCCTCCCCAGCCCCCCGGCCCTGCTCATACCCGTCCTTCCAGAGCTGCTTGAGGTGCTCCTGCAGCAGCCCCAGGATCCCGTCCAGCCACGCCCAGAAGGAGAAACCGGCGGCTCCGTCCTGTGGGAGAGGGGATGGGGACATGGGGACATGGGGACATGAGGGACAGGGGGACATGGGGACATGGGGACATGAGGGACAGGGGGACATGGGGACATGGGGACATGAGGGACAGGGGGACATGGGGACATGGGGACATGAGGGACAGGGGGACATGGGGACATGGGGACATGAGGGACAGGGGGACATGGGGACATGGGGACATGAGGGACAGGGGGACATGGGGACATGGGGACATGAGGGACAGGGGGACATGGGGACATGGGGACATGAGGGACAGGGGGACATGGGGACATGGGGACATGAGGGACAGGGGGACATGGGGACATGGGGACATGAGGGACAGGGGGACATGGGGACATGGGGACATGAGGGACAGGGGGACATGGGGACATGGGGACATGAGGGACAGGGGGACATGGGGACATGGGGACATGAGGGACAGGGGGACATGGGGACATGGGGACATGAGGGACAGGGGGACATGGGGACATGGGGACATGAGGGACAGGGGGACATGGGGACATGGGGACATGAGGGACAGGGGGACATGGGGACATGGGGACATGAGGGACAGGGGGACATGGGGACATGGGGACATGAGGGACAGGGGGACATGGGGACATGGGGACATGAGGGACAGGGGGACATGGGGACATGGGGACATGAGGGACAGGGGGACATGGGGACATGGGGACATGAGGGACAGGGGGACATGGGGACATGGGGACATGAGGGACAGGGGGACATGGGGACATGGGGACATGAGGGACAGGGGGACATGGGGACATGGGGACATGAGGGACAGGGGGACATGGGGACATGGGGACATGAGGGACAGGGGGACATGGGGACATGGGGACATGAGGGACAGGGGGACATGGGGACATGGGGACATGAGGGACAGGGGGACATGGGGACATGGGGACATGAGGGACAGGGGGACATGGGGACATGGGGACATGAGGGACAGGGGGACATGGGGACATGGGGACATGAGGGACAGGGGGACATGGGGACATGGGGACATGAGGGACAGGGGGACATGGGGACATGGGGACATGAGGGACAGGGGGACATGGGGACATGGGGACATGAGGGACAGGGGGACATGGGGACATGGGGACATGAGGGACAGGGGGACATGGGGACATGGGGACATGAGGGACAGGGGGACATGGGGACATGGGGACATGAGGGACAGGGGGACATGGGGACATGGGGACATGAGGGACAGGGGGACATGGGGACATGGGGACATGAGGGACAGGGGGACATGGGGACATGGGGACATGAGGGACAGGGGGACATGGGGACATGGGGACATGAGGGACAGGGGGACATGGGGACATGGGGACATGAGGGACAGGGGGACATGGGGACATGGGGACATGAGGGACAGGGGGACATGGGGACATGGGGACATGAGGGACAGGGGGACATGGGGACATGGGGACATGAGGGACAGGGGGACATGGGGACATGGGGACATGAGGGACAGGGGGACATGGGGACATGGGGACATGAGGGACAGGGGGACATGGGGACATGGGGACATGAGGGACAGGGGGACATGGGGACATGGGGACATGGGGACACGGGGACACGGGGACATGAGGGACAGGGGAACAGAGGGACAGGATCATGGGGGAATGACAGGACAAGGCCACAGCAGGGAACAGGGTCGTGGAAGGCCAGGGCCACTCAGGGACTGATGGGACAGAGGGACAGGGCAGGACTGGGGACAGAGGGACAGGGGGACAGGGTCATGGCAGGACAGGGCCATGAGGGGACAGCTGGGACAGGGCCATGGGGACAGAGGGGACAGAGGGGACAGGCCCTACTCACCTTGGAGAACTTGGGCCAGGCCACGGTGCTGTCCGGTGGTGGCTTCGAGCCTTGAGGGGAGAGCGGGGTGACGGAGGCCAGTGCAGCCGTGTCCCCCCGTGTCCCCCCGTGTCCCCCGGTGTCCCCCGGTGTCCCCCAGTGTCCCCCGCGGTCCTGGCCTTACCCAGGAGTTTCTCGGCCAGCATGAGGAGGTTTTCCTGGCTGAGGCCCCGCTCGGCCACGCTCTGGAACTGCCAGCTCAGCACCTCGGCCAGCCGGGGCCACGGGGCCGGTGGGGGTGAGGAGAAGAACTGCTGGGCCTGGGGACACGGGGGGACACGGGGTGAGTGGGGATGGGGACACTGGGAGACATGGGGTGAGTGGGGATGGGGACACGGGGGGACACGGGGTGAGTGGGGATGGGGACACAGGGAGGGGATGGGGACAGGGACACGAGGAGGGGATGGGGACAGGGACATGGGGAGGGGATGGGGACAGGGACATGGGGAGGGGATGGGGACAGGGACA